ATGGTGAATTATTTGATGAAGTTTCATGTGTAAAAAAATATGTCACAAACGAAAAGATCGAAGAATGGTGACAGAATAACCAGCCCTGCCATCAAAGGTGGATTGAGATTTTTGAACATTTTACAGCAAAAGAAATTGTTTTCAAAAACATTTATAAAATCGTAGAACTTTCTTTGTCTCCCTGGATCTAATGTCCCCGTTGAACGAATATTTTCATTGGTGAATAATAGGTGGACGAATGAAAAAACTGATTTAAAAGTAAGCAGATTAGAAGCATGTATTTTCATCAAATACAACTTTCAAATGAACTGTATGGAATTTTATGACTTTAAAGCGTGAAATGGCACTATAAAAAAAAATTAATTCTACTGAAAAGTATCAAAATTAATGTTATTTAAATTTTTTACAATGTGTGTATGTGTAATAATTCAGATTGTTTAAAATTTTAATGTATGCATTGTTGTATGCTACTATTTTCGTAATAAATGTTATAAACTTATGAGATATTTTTTGATTTTCTTCGATATGTCCTTTATTTTCCCCCAAAAAATATGGTCACTGTACCTATACTAGAGGAGACTGACCACAAGGAGTCTGAGACATTTCTCTCCCCCAGATATCCCTCAGTGCCATCTTACCCTCATGCCTTAAGGGAAGATAGATAAATAAACAACATAATTAAGAGGCATAAGTGGCTATCCATATAATTGTGTTTATGATAACTTGTGACTCTTGTTGAAGTTAGTACTCTTGTTAGCTGCTTCCAAGTTTGCCCCTTTCTCTTGGGTATAATTAATGAGTTGGAAGACAATAGCAAGGAAGAAGAAAGACAACGTAATGGAGTCACTATAGTGAAGTGAAAGCTAGGAATTCTAGTACTGCAGAACTGACAGAAAAGGAGTTTAAACTGGAAGTTCTTTATAAATGTTTGTACAACTGAAAGATTTTGTCGTGAATTCTAATGGAGGTTGAGTTGAGGAAAATCTAAAAGGTCAATATTCTAAAAAGTTTGTTGTAATGAATGCTCAATATATTTAGAATTTGGTTAAAAATATTAAATATATAACTTACAAAAAAAATCTAATAATGAAAGTAATATTGTCATTATCTTAAGTATTTATTCTAGGATATAAAATTAAATTGTGTAGATTTTTTTGTTTTTCTTCTATATTTTCTCAAAATTACTGAAACCTGTATTTTTACATAACATTTCTTTAAAAAAAAAATATTTTTTTTTTGTATTTTATAGGTAGACTGGATGTAAATGGTTGTGGATCAAAGATATAACATATCTTTGGGAAATTTACTGCCCAGAAAGTTTTTTCTTATCATTTCCACATTGGATTCTTTTGGAGTATGAAGTATTTATTTACAAGCCAGATAAATTCCTTTTATCGTCACTGCAAATTTGAGTTATGCTTCAAATAGAATATATATGTATTTAAAGTTATTTACATGTGCAAATTTACTTTTCCTATTTATTAATATTGTTTTATAGATGAATACATTTATAATTGTTATGTGATAATTATAAGTTTACCTTGTAGATTGCATTATATTGCATTGTTTTGGCAGATTGTAAGCAAGTAATGAGAAAATGTTTTAAATAATGTGAGAATTTTTTATATTTAATAATTAAAATTTTTATTACTTCTAGTCATTAATGCCAAAATATTTGATTTGCTGAATAACAATGCTATAATGCCATATATTTATTGTATTTTTAATTTATTCATGATTTGAATAACCTAAATTTATGTTTAGTTGACCAAAGACTTTATTTAATATTTATAATTTATGCCAAATATTTTTTAATATATATAATTTATCAAACTTAAAATTATTTTTCGCTAATGTAGAAAATCTTATATAAGATTATTAACAAAACATGCAAGTTAATTTGAATATTAGTGTTTTAAATTGCTCCATTTGACACTGAAAATTTAGTGATTTTTGTTTTATACACAAAAATCTTTTCCACTTGTATATAAAAAATATCAAAAGTAATTGTTAGTGCATATGTGAATATTTTTGTCACATTTACCGGTCCTTAATTCTATATCAAATTCATCTAGTCGGAGTGATGAGTTGTCATTACTCACAAATTCAGTACCTTACATTAAGGATATTTTTTCCCTTACTAATAAATCAGTAACAATTAAAATTTGCAGGCAACAAAATCACTTTCCTACTATATTCCTACAAAATCTCTCTCTTGCTCTCTCTATACAAATGAAAATGAACCGATTTAGCAATAGAACATTTTTACAGAACAAAACAAAAAAAAAGAATTGGAAATTTAAAAATTTTGAAATACTCTATTTAACAACACATATGATCTGTTTCTTAAAAAAATCAAGTTTATTTGCTACATATCAAATATTTATACTATCAAAAATCGAGGGGGGAAAATATATTTTTTATGGCAGAAATTTAGAATTTCAAAAGTGGAACACACTTTCAAAAATTGTGTAAATTCGGGTCCAATAAATAGTATCCAAAACTAATAAATTATTCAAATGAATAAGAAATAGCATTAGATTTCTCTTGGAGGTGGATTGTTTCAGTCGAGTCTAGTAATAGGATGCAAAAAATTATCAATAAAATTTCCATTCCATTCACTTTTATCGTATTGCCTAGTTTTTAGATCCTTCGAATTTCTCTACTTTATTTTGCCATTAAATATGCCAGCTTGTAATTATGAACGATTTTCCATTCATAGAACGTGCCAAATTTTGCTAATAATTTAAAATTCACTTTATAGTTTGTAGTCGAATAATCACCTTTAAAATTTTTACATAGACATTTCTTAAAATAAATCAGATACACAACTGAAAGCTTTACTGCTTTTAGGATCATTTGTAATTTTTTTAATGTTGAGTGCAATAAAATGCTACAAATTTTTAATAGAATTTACTATTTTAAAATTTTTGTTAGTTATAAATTTGAATTTTACATAAGGTTTCATTAAAAAGTTACTATATTTTATTAATGCAGTATATTCATTGTAATATTTCCATCTGTCATTTGATTGGATGTTAAGATTTTATGTAATAATACGTGAATATGTTAAAAATATATATTTATTTATTTATTCTGAATTTATTTTTTATGTTGTATATAAAATATATTAAGTTTATTTATTTCATAAACAATTGATGTTATCCTCTTCTATGTTCACTACTCATAATTTATTAAATAAAAGTTGATTTAAAAAACCTGAATCTGTTAATGTGTAGAACAAGTAACATTTTTACAGTCAAATTAAACTTTGGTACAGGAAATCATCATTTGGCATATTTGTACAGATATGTAAATCTTGGTTAATTCAAAGTTGCTATTTTTTTCATCCCTCAAATTTCAGATTAATGAGTATTTCCTGTAGTTTTAGATCTTTTATATTAAAATAATAGATTTACATATCCAAACATGATAGACATTGCACCAAAATGAATTTTCTATTCTAGGCAATGGCTGGCTTTCGTTGAAAGCAATGGTTCTTGTCAGTTAAGCGGCAAGGAGCTCAAAATAATTCCCATCAGTGACAAAGTAGTTGTTGGATCCCACCTAGAAGCTGGTTTTGAACAAAAGAAGTGGGACAACAATGGGAAGGGTATCCTCTTGTAAAACAAAATTAAATTGTAGTGATCTTGCGGAAAACGGAACTAATAATCATGGAAAGGGAGCAGGGGCTTTTTCCCTGGGCCTGGAGAAAACTTACAGGCTCATAGTGATTTCCTACCCTTATGGCATATATTGTTATTTTTGCTAACAGAAAATAAAATCCTTAAGATTTTATTTTGTTAATAAAGAAATATTTTGCATATTTCATTTGTTCAAAAAAGACGGCTAAAGGGGCTCACAACTGTGTAATTTGCTAAACTACAGTTTCTACTCCAATGTTATTCTGAAATTGTTCCGTTTCTATTATGGTAAGCGACGCATACATAATGCACTTGGATGGGGCCTCGCCCCATTTTCACACAGAGGTGCAATTTTTCTCAAATAACTACCTGCCGTGGCGATGGATAAGACAGAAGTGATGCCGACTGGAATCTTGCCAAGGCCAGCTCATTCTTTGACCTGTCTCACGAGACTCAGTCCTTTTTCTTTCCTCTGGGATTATGCAAAGGACTAATTCATCAGTAGTCTGGGGCAGAAAGATATGTATTACAAGGCACATCCCAAAAGTAAGGTACATTCTTTTATAACTTTTGTCATCTGACAATTTTATAAAGATCATATCTTACTTTCAGAACTTGCCTTATATCGATGCCATCCAAACCATCAACAGTGACACACAATGACACAGCAGGACTCCAACCATCAAATCAATATCTGCAGGGTGACAAAAGGGGAGAATACTGAACACTTTGTAACATGGTAAAAATTAACATGTATAGTGACAAATAAAAATTACTTACCTACTTTATATCAATATTGTCATTTATTACTCTGACAATGACTTACCACATGCAAATTAACTTTATAGGTAACCCCCGTATAGCACGGATTCACTCTAACACAGAATTGGGTAAAACCCACGTACAACATGAAATGTAATAAATTTTCACATACTTAAGTACTATAATAATAATTTTCACAAACTATTAATACTTAAGTATGTAAATTTTCTTTTCCACCTTCTGTCAATACATGTAATCCTTCTCAAAACTTGTTTCACTATTGCCAGATCACAACACTTCTGATTTTGTGTTGCCAGATGTTTTCCCTTATTGCATATTTGCTTTATTCTTCATAAGTGCTTAGCACCATATAAGGAAATTTATAAAGATCTTTTAACTAAAAGCAAGCAATCTAAAATAACATATTTTTTGCAAAAGGTAGAGCATTGATCTGAAGATAATGCAGAAAAATGCTCAGAGGATAAGGATATCTTGCCAAAAAGAAAATGCCTCGGTTAATAGTGCTTAGTAAAGAAACATTGTTTAATTTATATTATTAAAGTTTTCTTAAGCAATACACATTAAAGATATTTATCTTAATTATGAAAATATAATAGCATGTTTTTTAATTTTTGGAACCTAACCCCTTTTTTTTGTACTAGTTCTTTGTTTCGTATAACACAGATTCGCATATCACGGCAATTTTTTGGAACATAACTCCCGTATTATACGGGGTTGTGAGGGGATAGCCGGGATACAGAGTAGTTACAGAGTAGTAGGGATACAGACTTTTATATCACTTATTCGGCAGCTATTCAAACGGATAGCTGCCGAATAAGTGATCAGGTTGTCTAAAACAGTGGCCTCAGGTTGTCTAAAAAGTGGTTCCCAATTAGTTTTTCCTGCGTACCACTTCAAGAAAGAGCTCAAACTCGCATACCCCTTACAGCAGAAATTCATATTAATCCATACTAATATTATAAATTCAAAGGTAATTCTGCCTGTCTGTTATCTTTTCACGTTTAAACCAATGAACAGGTTTTAATAAAATTTGGCACAGAGATAGCTTACATGTTGGAGATGGACATGGACTACATTTTACTGTGAGAAAATATCTTACTCCCACAAGAAAATTCGATATAATGCAAGTGAAGCTGTGGGTAGAGAACTAATGATAAATAGAATAAGTTTTTTTACATTTATTACCTTTAAAATACAATTCTAATAATATTGAAAATAACATAAGGTTATTTAATTTTAATGTGACAAATGTGCATGATTTTCTTTGCACAACTTTGTAAAATCTGATTGCTTTTTGGTCATCTTCAGTCTCAAGTCATCTTCAAGTTGAAGTCAGAGATGTTTAGTTTTCATGTTTGTCATGGCTGAAAATACGCTCTCACAGAGATATGTTGTGCAAAATAATAGTAAATATTTTATTGCCGCTTTGCTGACATGATGATAATGATAATTGTACAATTAACACAATTTGTGTTAATTGTACAATTTTGTTTCTTGCGTAAGAATTTCATTTAGATATCGTCACAAATGCATTTTCTTGATGAAATTTCGAGAATAGTTTTAGTTATAAATAAACGAATTTGTGCATTCGACATCATGTTGTAAATTGCTGAATTTTTGATGGTCCACCCATTATTCTTTTGATTGCTTCATCTCATGCATTTAAATTTTAAATCGATCGATTTTAGATTGCCGCACTAACCCCTTCACGCAATTTCGCATACCCCCAGGGGTATGCGTACCACTAATTGGGAACCATTGGTCTAAAAGAATGGCTTTTCTATCAAAGAAATCGAGTGTGGAGGGACTTACAGTTTGAAGTAAAGCAAAAGCAGAATTAGATGATCACGTAATCACCCTTTTCCTTATCAGGATTCCCAACACCAGTTAATCAGTTTTATTACACGCTGATTAATACGTGTTATCGCCAACTTGTGAGTATGAGGAACACAAGTAACTTGAATAGGCAGAAGTGTGAATATCTAACATTAACCAGGCCATATTTATAATATAAACTAAAAACATTTAATAAATCAAAAATATTAACAGTATACAAATGAATGAATGAATAAATCAAAAATATTAACAGTATACAAATGAATGAATAACTTAAACCTAAACCTATATATCCTATGTTAAACCTAACAAGAGAGAGTTTACAATCGAGTGGAATGTGGTTATATATTACCTTCCCAGTTCATTCAATATTCCAATGCATGAGAATCTTCTTATTTGTGGACATTCTTTTTCTTATATTTTCTATGGCAAATTCTTTGTATAAATAACTCTTCTTATAACGGTCTCCTCGTGTAATGGACTCTATACATTGTATGGAGAACTCTGTAATATGACTTTCGATTGATGGACTCTATATTGTATGGAGAACACTTCGAATGGTGGGAAAATGTCTCTTTTATATTGGCCTTCTCTGACGGCCAAATAGCATGTGCAAAGGCCGCATTTTTTACTCATCTCGTGAGTCGGCCGTAGGAAAGGAAATCAACTTCCTTTCTAAAATCAAAAGTTTCTTTTGACATCCGTTTTTCAAAATTTTGTTGAAGTTTGAAAATAAATTTTTGTAACTTTTAATCTAAATCTTTTTCTCTCCTCTGTTAATTTGTCCAAAAATGACTTTCCTTCTAACTGTAGATTCTCACAGGGGTTACCAATATATGGTTCTTTTCAATGTTAAAATTTGTTTTCCCTACATTAAAAGTCAACAAACTGTAGATATGTATATATTCTATGATAAATTATATTATATTCAAATAGATTTTAGTCTAACCAAATATCTTTTTTCTTTAATACTTTCATTACAACTTTAGATATAATATATAAAATGCAAATACCAACTAGGTTAATATATTGTATCTAGCAACTTCATTCTGATCTTTAAATATTTCCAAGTTATAAGTCTTAACATTCACTTCCATCACCATTTTGAAATACTATACTCCTTACAAGTTTTTTTTTTTTTTTAAATAATTATTAAATGTCAATTAAATTAATGATTTTTCTATATTTCTATTAAAATTTTTAGTTGGCATTTTTCAACTTAATTTTTATTCAGTTCAGTTGATCAATTGAACTGAATAACTGAACAAATAACGACACTATTTCAAAATCACTAATAAATTTTTTTACAAAATAATGTATTAACACAATAATAATAATTAATTTAAAATTCGTTTTTTAGAAGAAAATGTTGGATGTTAAAAGAAATGAAATTGTTCTGCAAATTCACACAAAAAATAAATTTCTATAATTGTATTTCCTTCAGAATTAGCACAAGGTTGTCGTTGAGAGAATTAAATTCTTACATAATTTTTTGTAGATATATTTAATAAGATAGGACCAAAGAGGGGCATTTAGCCTGAAATGCACATCTTTTTAAATTATAGAAAATAATTTAAATTTAATTTAAAATAAACCTATTTTTTCCACTCAAAAAAAAGAATTCCAGAGCGATTTGTTCTCAACGACAACCTTGCGCTAATTCTGAAGGAAATACAATTGAGAGAACAATAAGCAATGAAATACTAAATTTCTATAACTTTGGAAGTTTTATTTTACTGACAATAATGATTTTGTTTACAGAATGAATAAGAACTGTTTTGATTTTTCAAAACATTGCACATGAAGAGAAAACTATTACAATGCAAATAAATTACAAAATATTAATTTTCACTCAAAATCCTTTATCGTATAACCATTCCTTAATTCGTTCCACGTGATTGTCCCTTATTTCAAGACGGCAGGTTACTTCATCTACACACATTCTTATTTTAAATTCACTATATGGTTGCAAGTATTCTCTTAGGTCTTGTGCAAGTTTCTGAAAGTAAAAAAAAACAATTGATATTCGTTTAGAAAAATTAAGGGGACCAATTCTTAATCAGACAATGAGAATATTCTCAAAGCACATACATGTGTAATTAAATTTCATTTAAATTAAATACAGAAAGGGGAGCAAAAAAAGTAGTATGCCACTAATTATTGAAATATATATGCTGTGGTTTTTAGACTATTTTAAAAGAAAGATGTTGCATTTAGTCATCTCCCAATAAAATTTTATTGTAAATATCATTGCATCGTTAATGTGTTAATTTAAAATCTGAAATGGTTACTATAGTAATATTTACCAAACACATACCCATATGTCACCTCTAACATTTTTAACCCTTGTAATATTATGCGGACCTTCTGGAACAACTCTCACATAGACTGGCAACAGATGATTTCTTGTCCTGGCAATAAAGTATGGAAGATCAGGAACGACGTCTGTCGGAATTAAAATAAAGACTATAATTTCTATGCATAGCGATCAAAATAAATTTGAAAGATTAATAAAAACTTCAATATCTGTATCGTACGGCAGCAATTGAGAAATAAATTGTATGATTATTATAATGCACTGAACATCTAAAGTAAACAGCTGTTTTTATGCTTGAAAACATTCATTTACCATTTCATAAATCAAGATTTTTCTTATAAATACAACTTTAACAGCTAGTAAATACCAAAGAGAAAGCCATTTTGTAAGGTCACTAATATTTATTGTAAGGTCACTAATTATTATTCAAATATCACATTATAATAGGCTGTATAATATCACTTGGTCATTTAATTTATATCTTTATATAACAGCAACTGCACACTGGGATATATAAAGTAAATATGACTTACCAAACCTATAAAAGGTGCGTATCTAATTGTTCATTCAACGACAAACGTTTTCTTAACCCCTTCTGGGCTCTTCTTCAGGTGAACAACGAAATTTGAATAAATCTGAACTCTGTTGAATTTGAATCGTTCAGTTCGTTTGCTTATTCCGTTGCGTGATATGCTTGAAAGTGTTCTAATTTGACAACCAATGTTCAATTTAAGAGAACGATATTAATGTGTTACTTAAAAAATGTGTTAGTGAGATACACAATTATTTAACATTCTCACATGTTCCCCAGTATCTTTTATTTTAAGGCTTAATAAATATTATTTTGCTATTACTCTGTATGCAGTAGGTTTTGCCATGCCATGGAAAGGCCGATTTCGTCTCTTGAATTAATACAATTGGATGTGTCGTATGCCTTAAAAATTTCCATCTCTTCCAACCATTTTAGTTGGTGAATGTGGGGTGTGGTGGCAATTATCTGCGCTTTATTGAAGTCCGCCACTATTTCTGGATCAGTTGCATAGGTGGAGAGTGATGATGTGTCTCTGTTGCGTTGTATATCAGATATATGTTCTTTTAACCTACTACATATAGAAATCGGCCTTTCCATGGCATGGCAAAACCTACTACATACAGAGTAATAGCGAAATAATACTTATTAAGCCTTAAAATAAAAGATACTGGGGAACATGTGAGAATGTTAAATAATTGTGTATCTCACTAACACGTTTTTTAAGTAACACATTAATATCGTTCTCTTAAATTGAACATTGATCGTCAAATTAGAACACTTTCAAGCATATCACGCAACGGAATAAGCGAACAAACTGAACGATTCAAATTCAACAGAGTTCGGGTTTATTCAAATTTTGGTTGTTCGTTCCAGCTTTTCACCTGAAGAAGAGCCCAGAAGGGGTTAAGAAAACATTTGTTGTTGAATGAACAATTAGATACACATCGGTTATAGGTTCGGTACATCATATTTACTTTATACATGCCAGTGTGCAGTTGCTGTTATATAACTATTAAGTGATTCCGACTAATTCATACCGTAAGATAGTCGTCAGCCTTACTAAGGCTAGAGCGAAGCTGGATTTTTTAATGAAATGCAAAAGAATATGTGTGTTCCCTATGACCATATATTGCATTCGCCTACCACCAGGAAATGAACCGTTACGCAATAAAGTTAGATGGATGTGTATGAACAGGGCCATCAGGATGACCAGGAGATCCATTTATTCTAAATTGGTGGATCTTGTCGACATTGAAAACAAGTTATTTCAACAAGACCCTTAAGTTTTGGCCCTCGAAAATGCAAAAATTTTAAACATACAGGAAAGGCTAAGAAGTAACTTAATGAGACATTATTGTAAAAAACTCCAATGGATTCTCCATTTCCAAATACCCTCCACCTTCGGCCACAACGAGTGTCAGTTTATTGTATGGGACGACATACAGGTGCCGAGTTACATTGAGCTTATCCTCAAGTTTGGACCTGCTTACGCCACTATCCCTCACATTAAGGATAATGTAAGATCGTGCATTCCAGACTTAGAGTTTTTAATACAAGGCCTCTCTGAACTACAAAAGGAATATTATAGATGGGTAGCCACATTCAAAATAATAAATAATAAGGATTCTAGAGAGGTGCTCCAATTCAGAGAGAATCTTAAACGCACGAGTTGATGGATATGTCACAATAATATCACATTGGTTAGGGCAGATAAAGCCAGAATATTAGTGATTATGAAGAGAGAGACATATGAGAAAGGCCTTTGTGAGTACATAGAGGTAACAAGTTGCAATGAGGTGGAAAATAACACGATAGATAAGTTACAGTCAAGAGTTAAACGCTTCGCTTCTACAAAGTTGGCTACCAGATTAAATATGAAGAACATTGTAATGGATGCACCTGATGCCCCAAAATTATTTGCCTTTGCTAAAACACATAAGGAAGGGAAACAACTACGCCCAGTGGTGAATAGGGCCAAAGCTCCCACACAAAAGCTCGAAGAAGCGTTACATAACATTCTTACTCCACACCTTGAAGGGTACCAATTTTCAATCACCAACACATTGGATTTAATAGAGCAACTTAGGGTAGTTACATCACCGTGTTATGTTACAGTATTGGATTTTAGATCCCTATACCTTTCGATTGAACTTCCCCCATGTTTTTGCATCATAAGGGACTTTCTCTTTAAAAAAGTTGGACACCAATGAACTACAACATCAAGCACTAGAATTGGCCCATTTAATTTGTTACAACTCTGTTTTTCTATTTAAAGGAAGGTTGTACTCACAAACAAGAGGTGTCCCCATGGGTGGTTCAGTATCCGGGGATTTATGTGAGATAGTCATTAGACAATTAGAAAACAGGACATTGCCTAATTTCCTCCACGACATTATCCTGTGCAAAAGATATGTCGACGACATCATCATCTTATGGAGGACATCTCCCAACCTAGCCTGTTTTCTAGACGAAATGAATGATAACCCGTATGGACTGACACTAGAGATGGAACAACACAGTAACAGCAGAGTACATTTCCTGGATTTGGATATAAGATTTGAAGATTCCAACATCCATACATCGGTTTTTCGCAAACCGTCTAGTGTATTGGCATACAAGGTCTGTTCAAAAAGTATCGGACCTTTGGTCGGTAAAAATAAATTTATTGACTTTGAGGTACAAAACCCTAATCCCCTTCAAAGTAGTCTCCTTGGTAATGTATACACTTCTCCCAGCGTTCCTGCCATTGCTGGAAACACTGCTGGAATGCATCTTTTGGAATGGCCATCAGCCAGTCCGTCGGATTTTGCACGATGTCTTCTCTCGACTAAATTCGGGTTCCTTTTAGCGGCATTTTCAGCTTAGGAAAGTGACGAACCACAGGAGTGTAATGGTTGGCGGCGAAAGTCCGAATCAGATGCGCAGAATGGGCGGATGCGTTATCACGATGGAGCTGCCAAGTTTTGATCGTCCACAGATCTGGTCGTTTGCGTCGCACAGCATCGGAAAGACGACGAAGGACCTCCTGGTGTACTCCTTTGCGATAGTTTGGCCTTGTGGTGCGTACTCACGACACACCACCCTACGAGAGTCGAAAGAACTGTCAATATGACCTTTGATATTGCTGCGGACCTGCCGCGCTTTTTCTGGCCTCGAGGATCGTCCCCGAAAGCCTGCTGAATCTTGCGAATGAACCTTGGCGATACCCAAGCGTTTACGCTTGGGTATCGCCAAGGTTCATTCGCAAGATTCAGCAGGCTTTCAAAAGATTCAGCAGGCATTTCAAACGCGCTTATACGCACTCTTCCACACAAAAAGCGCTAACAGATGAGTTAAAATATTTGGAAGGCATCACCAGGTCCCATGGTTACCGCAATATTAAACAAAAAATCTCGGAGGACCACAAACAACCACAGGCTTCTTCCAACAATACAGCAAGCACGCAAAACATTAGCAAGACTATGGAAAATGTGAGGATACCTATCAAGTTCAACCCACTATTGAAGTCTATATACAGCACCATTGCTAAAGAACGAAAAGTCAACATAGCATACAGAAGGTGCAGCATGTTGTTCGATATCCTACACAACGAAAAGGATTGATCCAAGACGGAGAAATTATCAGGTGTCTATACAATCCCTATAAGGGATAACAGGTTTAACAGAGATCTGGTATACGTGGGATCAACTAAACGTTTATTAGGGGTTAGGTTAAAAGAACATATATCTGATATACAACGCAACAGACACACATCACTCTCCACCTATGCAACTGATCCTGAAATAGTGGCAGACTTCAATAAAGTGCAGATAATTGCCACCACACCCCACATTCACCAACTAAAATGGTTGGAAGAGATGGAAATTTTTAAGGCATACGACACATCCAATTGTATTAATTCAAGAGACGAAATCGGCCTTTCCATGGCATGGCAAAACCTACTACATACAGAGTAATAGCGAAATAATATTTATTAAGCCTTAAAATAAAAGATACTGGGGAACATGTGAGAATGTTAAATAATTGTGTATCTCACTAACACATTTTTTAAGTAACACATTAATATCGTTCTGTTAAATTGAACGTTGATCGTCAAATTAAAACACTTTCAAGCATATCACGCGATGGAATAAGCGAACGAACTGAACGATTCAAATTCAACAGAGTTCGGATTTATTCAAATTTCGTTGTTTGTTGTTCGATCCAGCTTTTCACCTGAAGAAGAGCCCAGATGAGGTTAAGAAAACGTTTGTCGTTGAATGAACAATTAGATATGCATCGGTTATAGGTTCGGTACGTCATATTTACTTTAATTTATATCTTTGTTCGGCAGATTGGGGTTCTTTTGTAAATATGAATATTTAAAGATAACAGCATCGAATAAAGCAGCTTTTACATTTATTTAATTCAGAGTTTAATTTCAAGTTCAAAGATTCATTAATAAATGCATTACCATTATCTGAAATTTTACTGTTTTAATATTAATAAAACAGTGTAGAGTTTGTTAAAGAAACTTTTGTAATTAATTTATAATAACTAATTCTTTTATGTACAGTAGTAATGTTGTTGTCTTGAAACTACTGTCTGTTAACAAAACAACAAAAACACATCAAATATTTTCTTGAAATGAATTACTACATTAAAATCATTTGTATGCAATTTTTAATAAATGCTCAAGTCTAAACAAACCTTTGAGTCCAACATCTCTGCATTTAGTATGGCTTTTACAACATGTTTTGTTTCTCATCTGAACAAACCAATAAATCACTTAAAGCAAATCTTTTATTGTGTTTGTATATATTTATTATGTTAAATATAATGATAACATTGCAGCCAATAGAAGTATAAAATCAAATGGCCTCCTACAGTTCTGGATTATGAAACTTAGTTTAACACATACCTGAAATTTATGTTATTGAGCTGCAATTTTCAAACTGAAGACATAGATTCCCATGATTGTCTACTCTTCCTTAATCTTGAAACAGAGTTAGATGGAAAAATTAGGGGCCAGACGCTCAAATTAACTGTATACAAACTTCTAGACTGGACCAGAAGTCACATGATTTTTTTTACATTAAAATATTAAAAGTTGTAGCCCAGCATTGTTATGATGTCACAGTAAATAATTGTTCATTCTAGTTGTAGCATCTGGTCCTGGAACTAAAACTAATACATGATAGCAGACTTGAACTTATTTAAAAACGAATAATTCTGCCGTGATCAAAAAGTATTTGGAATGATTCATTTAAATTGCACACATGCAAGAGGGCGCCACTGTCATCTTTTTTTTATTGTTCAGTATAACTTTCGTCAACATCTAGCAGCAATCCATGCGTTGTCTGTTTTCCATTGCAAATAAATGTTGCGTGTAAAAAATTTTTGCACTGACAATTTTTCAAAATGCCAAGTGTAATTGAACAAAGAATGTGCATTAAATTTTGTTTTTGCAATGTATTCAAATGGCTGAGGAAATGCTTTATCCAGGTGAATTGCTCTTAAAAGTCATTATTACAGGTGATGAAACATACGATCTACACTTCTGACACCAAAACAGCTCAACAATCAAGTGAATGGTGCTTGAAAAGTAAAGCGAGACCATAAAGACCATATCAAAGTTGGGTATTCAGTACAGATTACTTTGGAGAGGACAAAATAAATTTGATAAATTCAAATCTTGCATTGTATTGAACCATTCCCAATACTTGATCACAAGGGTAAATGCAAAATTTTAGTGAATTGTTTGTTTATTCATATCAAAATCATATGTAAATAGAAGAAAAAGTTTGTCTGAAAAACTTTCTAATCAGACTTATTTGAATGAATTAAAATGTTATGGCAAATAAAAACTAAGTAATATTAATCTGTGTAATTCTATCATATAAGCTAGAATATCAAAGAATTGTACAATCAGCCTAATTTTCTCATCACAAGTATGCACAATTCATCACTTGGACCAACCAACTTATACAAAGGATAAAGATGATGATCCAAACTACCCACTAAAAGTTGAGATAATTCATATTCAAATCCAGGCTTTTATAAGCAAATATCTTACAATCATCTGGTCAATTAATGCCAACTTAAAAAGTTGGCAAGGGCTCTTGCACTTTCCCAGCATTCATATGGAGTTAACAGATGTCTCTACCTCAAAATAATTTTTGCCTTTGTAGTAATTAACATTAAAAAAACATAGGTTTTCTATTATGAGATTTTGTTTTCAAAATGCACCATTAAGACGGCATTGAGATAGAAAATCAAATTTAGCACTTGCTTTACATAATTTAAGGGTCAGCTTCTTATACTGTTTGGCCGGTGTAGCCATCAGTATACTTATATAATGAACTAACTGGATAAATATACTACAAATAAAACACACCTTTAATAATCCAGCTAATAAAAATTAATAAAGTAAAAATGTTTTCGATTGTTTCTTAACGATCTTCTTCAGATACCATAACATAAAATAAAATCGAACACAAAAAAAAACGTAAATGCAAAATTAAAATATAAATAACGGAAAAGTAGCTGCGGTGATAAAATAAACACAAAATATAAATTAAGCCGAAAAGATGTTCCTTAACAAAAATAAAAATAAATAAAGTCATTAATTCTTGTAAAAGGATTGCCATGCGGAGGTAAAGAGTCTGCATCCCTATGGTTGATGCAACCAGTTTTCTTGTGTGCCTTAAAATTTTGTTTTCAAAAAATTGTAAATGCCTACAACAAGTTTTTGTTAAGTTATCCCACTCAAGATATAATCTCCAAAATTTATCATCATCAATGCCATATGTAGAAGCATATCTGCCAAATTTCAAAATTTTTGGTCCATGTCCTGACATATAAAGCAAAATATAAGTCAACACACAAACACAGAAATATTGTATGTGATTTTTTGTAATCAGAACCTTAAAACATACAGAAATGCAAAATACCCAGAGGGTCAAAATTTGACTAATTACCATACTTCCACAAACAAGAGAATGCCTTTATATGTGAAAACGGCCCATTTTTGTGTTTTTCAAACTCGCATCATTGCCTCACTTATAACAACACATTCTTATCCATGCCAGCTTATTTTGCTTATCAGAGAACTGCACCGACATGTTAATGTAAATTAAATGTTAAGGAGGCAGTAAAGGAAAGTAATAAATTATAAACAAAGCCAACAAAACCAATCTCTGGGACAATTTTACAGAAAGCAAACATCTTCGACTGCATTAAATGCCCAACGATGCCCATTTAACATGGCTGAAAATGTTTATTTTCTGTAAAATTGCACCGGAGATCAGTTTTATTTGCTTCATTTATTAATTGCATCCAGTTTTGAGTAGTGGAATGTAATAAACTGTATATCTTCAGACACAACACAGCTATTTTAGCAAAGGAGGAGTTTACTCGACTCGGTTCTACCCAAATATTAATTAAAAATACTGCATCATTTCTTGTTAAATATTAGTTATTGTATTATTTTTGAATCTATTTAGGAATCGATAATGGCAATTACCTGGCGCTTTCCTCCAACCTAAAACAGAATTATCTTTCGTTGGGGGAGGAGGGACAGTTACTTTTTTGGCAAGCAATTTCTCTACATACTTCCAATGGCCTTTGACTTCTTCTACTTCTGTGTATTTTGGATCTGGATTCGATGCCCAAATACTTTTATCTGATATATTTGCAGATCGATGACACTAAAAATTCAAATTTACTCTCGTAATCAATACACTAACAACAATACAGAAGCAATTATAAACTAATTAATCAATTACAACCAAAAATAATCAATTACATTTTACTTTATATAAGTTATTTCTTAAAAATTAAGGCAAATTAATAATAATTGAGATTTAAATTAACCTTTCTAAACGATGTAGTTGTTCTGTATAAATTACTGTGAATAATTTTTGCAGAATTTCTTAGAAGAAACATCTTAGATGCTTCCGCTCAAAGCATGGGGAACATGTGAGAATGTTAAATAATTGTGTATCTCACTAACACATTTTTTAAGTAACACATTAATATCGTTCTGTTAAATTGAACGTTGATCGTCAAATTAAAACACTTTCAAGCATATCACGCGATGGAATAAGCGAACGAACTGAACGATTCAAATTCAACAGAGTTCGGATTTATTCAAATTTCGTTGTTTGTTGTTCGATCCAGCTTTTCACCTGAAGAAGAGCCCAGATGAGGTTAAGAAAACGTTTGTCGTTGAATGAACAATTAGATATGCATCGGTTATAGGTTCGGTACGTCATATTTACTTTAATTTATATCTTTGTTCGGCAGATTGGGGTTCTTTTGTAAATATGAATATTTAAAGATAACAGCATCGAATAAAGCAGCTTTTACATTTATTTAATTCAGAGTTTAATTTCAAGTTCAAAGATTCATTAATAAATGCATTACCATTATCTGAAATTTTACTGTTTTAATATTAATAAAACAGTGTAGAGTTTGTTAAAGAAACTTTTGTAATTAATTTATAATAACTAATTCTTTTATGTACAGTAGTAATGTTGTTGTCTTGAAACTACTGTCTGTTAACAAAACAACAAAAACACATCAAATATTTTCTTGAAATGAATTACTACATTAAAATCATTTGTATGCAATTTTTAATAAATGCTCAAGTCTAAACAAACCTTTGAGTCCAACATCTCTGCATTTAGTATGGCTTTTACAACATGTTTTGTTTCTCATCTGAACAAACCAATAAATCACTTAAAGCAAATCTTTTATTGTGTTTGTATATATTTATTATGTTAAATATAATGATAACATTGCAGCCAATAGAAGTATAAAATCAAATGGCCTCCTACAGTTCTGGATTATGAAACTTAGTTTAACACATACCTGAAATTTATGTTATTGAGCTGCAATTTTCAAACTGAAGACATAGATTCCCATGATTGTCTACTCTTCCTTAATCTTGAAACAGAGTTAGATGGAAAAATTAGGGGCCAGACGCTCAAATTAACTGTATACAAACTTCTAGACTGGACCAGAAGTCACATGATTTTTTTTACATTAAAATATTAAAAGTTGTAGCCCAGCATTGTTATGATGTCACAGTAAATAATTGTTCATTCTAGTTGTAGCATCTGGNCGGTAGACACGTTAACAAAGAGTCCTCCATTGACTTTATCGCTCTCTTCTGTGTTGAAGTAAGACGGAAACGGCCTCGTTTCTGGCAACCAGAAAACTGGATTCTCCTTCACAACGCCTCGGCACATCACGCTCTCCTAGTTACAGAATATCTGATAAAACACACTGGATTCCGCTCCCAAAGACATTTGTCTTCACGAAACTGAAAACTCAAGATGGTGGTCAGATTTAAGTCAGTACAAGCAGAGGCGAATCCACGGAGGCTAACAGGAGCTTAACTCCCTCCCATTCACACACAATAAAATTTATTTATTCGAACTTCTTTTCTTCTCGTTTCACGCGATCCCAATTGGATTTTCATCCCTGCACCATGCATTATATATAATGCTGTATTTAATATTATTGCTAAAATTCGAGGTGGAATCAGAGCCGGAATTTTTTCATCCTATTCTACATTACCGTGTTGTAAAAAGAAACGGAAAATTCGGCAGACACACAAAAGTCGTCTTCAACTCTGCTCTTACTTGGCATTGGTATTGTCATCAGTGCGCCCCACGTCCACTCGTAATGGTTTAAAGTCGGACCTAAATCCCATACGCGTGAAGGTGGATGCACACGTGACGCGAAACGAAACCGCAGAATCGCAAAACGCGACAAACGTAAGCGATTTATTTCTGGGCGCATGCGTTCGGCGTTCAAGATGGGGCAAAGGGGTATGCCACTTTTCTATTTATAGTTTGTTTTAATTATCAAGACTTCTGCAAAACAGAAAGTGTGGAAAAAAAAAAAACATTTTTGTACAAAAAAATTAAAATTATAAATTTTATGTGAAAATATATTTTAATATGCCCACATTCATTGCGCCAAACTACGCTTATAATTTAAAATAGGAATAATTTCGCACAGAATGAAGAAAACTTTCTGTATCGAAAGTCATATTCGAATCTTTTGCCATTTAACAAATACCCACGATTCGTATGTTCACACGACAAACGCAACTAACGAAGTGAGCTGCGATTGGTCGTAGAAAATGCGCCTAAATCGAGAAATTTTTTCTGGCTTTCGTCACGTCGCGCGCACGACGTGACGAAAACCGCCGCACGTTCACATCTGCCTTAATTCAATTGGTTAGAATTTATACATTACAAGCAACGCGTTGAGCCATAAATTATGTAAAGAAATTACTTCGAATTCTTACAACATACAACGGGATTCGAGAAAGTCTTTCGACATTTATTAATAAAAATCAATTATTTTACAAACTTCGTAATCCATATCGAAAGTTTTATTAAATCATTACATTGTCTCCAACATACAAAATAAAAAATTTTTAAACAACATAAACCACTTTAAAAATATATTTTACTCGTCTTATTTATTCAGAAATGTTATAAAAATAATTTAAACCGAAACTGGCTCAACCTTTTTAAGGTACTTCACAGATACGGTTTCGTTAACCATCGGAGAGATGCTTCTAAAGCTGTGTCGTCCGTCTGGTGACTTATCCAAATTGGAAACTTTGGGAAAACATGCGTAAATTACAATTAAACCAAGAAAAATACAGGAACTTAAACAAAGAAAGGCGATTCCTATCGCTGCCGTAGGCACGCATAGATATTGAGCTAATGATTGATACTTTAAAGTGTGTGACAAAATTGTTATCAAACTTCCACACACAAGTAAAAATGCTGCTATAATTCCGAGCGATAAATACACTTCGGGTAGGGAATTGCTTTTCTTGGAAGCTTTAGTATCGTTAATTGTAAACTTCATGTTTCTAAATAAAAATTACACAGTTTAAATAAGTAAATTAAGTGTAAAATATTAAATAAATAACTCACCTATTATTCTAAATCGAGTAGAATTTGTGAAACGATCAATTTATTAGTTTAATTAACAAACGTTTAAAAAAAATCAAGATGATACGATACGCCTTTTCCTCTTACTTAACTCAGGAAGTATCGGTTCCACCCCTCGCAGGATGAGTGAACTCATCTCTTGAATTACTTGTTAGCATATTTACATAATTATACTTTTAATTATAATTGACTGAGATTTTAATTGCGATTAGTCTAATTTTTGTAACAATTGCAAAATATTTTGTATTATTTTGCCATTAACAATAACCTTAAACTATGGCCGAAAAGAAGATGCGCCAAGAACTGGAAAAAGATAAGGTCGAAGAATTCAAAAATGATAATATTAAAGAGGTATTTTCCATATTTAACAGCGATGACGATTGTTTATCGGGTAACAATTTAAGAAAAGTCATGAAAATGGGCGATGTGGATCTTAGCGAGAAGGAAATTCGAGATATCATCAAGGCGGTCGATCCGTGCGGCAAAGGAAATATCAATTATGCCAAGTTGATATCCATGTTAGCTACAAAAATGAGAAAATCAGATGTTTTCAACGATGCCGATAACGTGATAGTTGAAGCATTCAAGGTTTTCGATAAGGATAACAAAGGCATCGTTAAAGTATCCGATTTACTTCACTCTGTTTCGGGTCTGGAGCCGAAATTCAAGATGTATATGGAAGAATTGGTACTGAATGCCGATCCTAAGAAAACGGGACAGTTTAACTATCACGAATTTATCCAAAAAATGCAAGGAAAATGGAAGAATTATTTAATTTAGATGCTTTGATTTTCAGTGTTTAAGGTTAAAGGGTACATTAGATATACACACAAAAAATTTCATATCGTCCGAGAGAACTTGATTATATTTAAGTAATTTTCATATAAAACACTTAAAATTTTCGTTCGTGTTTCACTTAACTACATTAATTCTTTTAAATTTATTATCTCTGCAAATATCTGATATTTAGCAAAATTGCGAGTCTAATAAAGGGAAGTTTAAAAAGTTAAATGCTGTCACTGTAATTTTTTACTCGTTAATATGTATTTATTTAACCCATTCCTTCTTTTGGTGACTAAAATGGCTTTTTACTTGCAAGCCCATTGTAGATTTGGCCATGCCCAGAATGGGGCACCCGGCCGCCCCATTGTGGGCATGGCCAAACCTACAATACCAAATATCTGGAGTTTTTAGACCCGTTCCCGATCGTATCCCGGGTCCTCAGAACGGCGGACTCCCACTGTAACTGCTCGGCCATTTCGCTATATCAAACTCAATTCATCTTGGATCAGAAAAACAATACAAATATAATTGTGTAATTGAAGATTTGTTCTCATACCCGCATACATATATTTTAAGGGCATGCACAAAACATTGCCCTTAAAATATAAGTACAGTAGACCATCGATTATCCGACCCCCGATTAACCGTCACATCGGTTAACCGACCGTTCTAGTCGGCAAATTTCAAATGTCCACTAGTGATGTGGCACTACAATATTTGGCTATGTCTTGGCTACTTTAATATTATTTTTGTTAAATTTTTGCGTGTTTTAGCTGGAAACACGGCTCGACCATAGAGGGAGGCCAGTATTTAAACGAGACTTAATTTTCTAATAATTTAAAAATAATTTTTAACGATATAATAGCGACGATTATTATTTTTACTGGGAAGTTCGTCGTGGGTTCGCGCCACGATCGGACAGGCTGGCTGCTTGGAGTTTTCCGGGTTTTCTCCTTGCCAATAACGACTGAATAGGAGGCCAGTTCCCCATAAAAGTCCTCCCGGAAGGCATTATTTTCCGCCCGCGCGTATAGGCCGTTCGGATACGGCTGGCTCATCGGTCGCATAGCGATCATAAACGTATGTCTAGTCGGAGAAAGAGCCTATAGAGCTAAAATCTCCATATAAACAACATCTGAGAAGAAAGAAAGGAAAGGATTATTATTTTTTAAAAAATTTGTTAAGCTTAACACCGATGAAAATTAAACACAAGGTTGGTTAATAGCGATATACTAATACATTATACTAATTACATGGGATATACTAATATACTATACTAATAATGTATTTTTTTTATTCTTTTCGGTTATCCGATTTTTCCAGTTATCCGACCAACCTGAGTCCCCAATTGAGTCGGATAATCGATGCTCTACTGTAGTAATGATTTGGGCATCTTCGATCACAAAATTAATTTTTCAGGGGAAATCTCGACGCATACTGATCACAAGTTGAAATTAATTTTTAAAAATAATAACAATTTAAAAATTTGTTAAGTAAATTTAAACACAATTTGAAATAATATTTTAAACTTTTATTAACACTAATCTTTTGTAATACTGGAATTAATTATGGATCATACTTTGTATAAGGAATTCGATTGGTCGGTTTTTGATATAAATAAAAATTTTAATGCCAGGTTGGAAAGCTGTATCCATGGAAGCATATGGTTTTATTGTTACTTACGACAACGACAGAAATTATTCTGTTTCTCCTCGTTTATACCAGTCTCTGGATAGCTGTATTGTTGCGGTAAATAATTTTTCTTTCGATATTCCTGATAATTTTCCTATTGTTGTTTTACGTTTTAAAGTTAACGGAGAAATATGGAAAGGAGATAGAAAATTTGGTTTTGTAATTATTGACGAGGACGGAAGAATTAACGAAAGTTAGTAATGAATTATATTATTCGTTCGAGAAATGTTAGGAAGTTATGAACGAAGTTTATATTGAAAAGAATAAAAAGAATATATTAATATTTAGATATAAATTGTGGATCAAAACATTATAAATTTACTAAAGTTCATAAAATCGATTGATATGTATTTCAAGCATTCAAGTAACTATAATCGTTGGACCCCCCACAGTGCGGAAAGACCACACTAGTAAGAAAAATTATTCGCTGTAAAATTTATGAAAAATCATTAAAGAAAATTTTAAGGTATTATTCTGTATATTTACTGTTTTTTTCACGACGAAAAAGATATTACATTCACATACGGCTTACATGAATCCGTGCAAGGTTGGGATTTAGTAATAATTGATGATTTAATGCATGAACTCAGTTCAAAAACTGCGTTCTTGTTTACGACAGAATCTCATCATTATAATGTAAGCGTGATTCTGATAATGCAAAATCTGTTTTCGAAAAATTGAATTATGAGAGATATAACTTTAAATACGTACTATTTGATTTTATTTACAAATAATCGTGACGAAAGTCAAGTAAGTTGTTTGGGGCGGCAAGCTTTCGCCGGCAAACGCAATTTTTATAGATACATACAAAAAGCGACAGAAAAGGAATTTAATAATTTATTATTGGATTTTCATCCTAAAACGAATAAGAAACTTTCTGTGAGAGATTCGTGTTTTCCTGATGAACATGGTATTTCTTGGATATATTTACCGATAAAATAGAGAACGTAAAGAAAAATGATCATATGTTGGCGCTTTTAGCGAAGGAGTAGTTCCTTCTCAACTAAGAGCAATATTGAAAGAAGCTACTCCCGATCAAGTTAACGTTTAGTGCGAAATATGCGATAATTTGCGGAGAGGAAATATACCCGCCGATGTTCATAAATTACGAAAATATAAAAAAAAATTATCAGGAAAGTAAGTGAAAAACATGTTACTTTAAATACCAAGAAAAAATTTTGATTAATCAATCTGGTGGATTCTATTCTCTTCTACCGGTGACATTATTGTCCATGGCAGGAGGACTAATTGGCAAGATAATAGGGAAAAGAATCTAATGGCGAAGCAAATGGCACTTGTTCCTCCCCAAGGACTTTAAACTACAAGGATAGCCAAATCCCGTATATTTGTTAGCGTGACCTTGGATCTATGTGACGTCACAGCAAGCCCTCTACTTCAACATGACAGATCTTTCAAATAACAAAATACGATAAAATATTAAATCATTTCTTAATTAATTATTAAATTACTACTAAATGTAAACTACTGTAGAATTTTCGGATTTAATAAGTGTACTGTACGTCAATAAATTTACAAGTCTTTTGTCTAATATTTATTTAACAAATTAATGAGCTATATTTTTTATTATGTGATTATCTTACTTAACTTTTTAATTTTTTTTCGACAATCACCATTTTCAGAAGGCATTCTTTTCAATATTTTATAGTTTTCTTGTTTAAGATTTCTATAATTAATTCTTATTATAGTTCTTAATTTACAAAAATCTTTTATTAAAGTAAAAGGTAAAACTGTTTCCACTGACTAATTCTGTACAACTCCGGGGCCTTTTTTATACGATTCATCGTGATATATTTCGAAATATTTATTCCATTCTATAATTTTTGCTAGCCATTCATCAGTAGGTTTAATAAGCCCTCCATAAGATAAATGTTGCACCCATGACGGAATGCTATAGTTGTAATGATTTTTAATTTTGTTAGTGGAATTAATTAAGTTTGGGTATTTTTCTTTATATTTATAGGCAAAATATCCTGCTATATACTCGAGAGCATCGTAGGAAGTTTCTTCAGAGATTGTGTTAAAGTCTAGATTGCATGTAGAGTTTCCTGAAGATTTATTTGAAGAAAAAGTAGTTTTACATTCAGTATATTGGTCTGTATTTTCACTTGATACTTCTACATGTGCTTTCTCTAAAACTTTGGGTATAATATATTCCTCTTGTCTTCGATCTGTAGTATTTACTTTTGACTCTAAAATACCAGGATTCTTACCTAAAATAATCAATCTAATCCTATATATAGCATTTAATGGGCTTGGATGTTCATTAGGACCCCGGCTTCTATTTTAAAAAAAAAAGTTTTCCAGACAATCTTGATTTAAATTGTGAGTGCAGATGTATTTTATATCAAAAGTCGATTTCATATCTTGAAAAAGATCAATTAGCGATTTCATTGAGATTATCATTCCTTTCTGGAAAATTTGGAGGGCATTTTTTCCACTTGCTCTCATTGTTGAGATTATTTTTATCATTTTATTTAAATGTTCTTCTTGTAATTCCAAGTCTACACCATATCCATTTTTGCTTGGAACAGAACCTTTTGGTGCATAGCTATTAAAAATGTCGAACCACATATTTATATCTCTAATATACGTTTCATTGATAATAATAATTGATTCATAATAAACGTTTCATTGATATTCACATTCAATTCTTTCCATAAACTTATGTTACTGCAACTACAGTCACTGACGCAAGCTACTACATTATACGATAGTAAATAAAGTTCTGCTATTAATTTTAAAAGTATTTCTCTTGTCATTTTTTGATCAAACCCGATGTAAACAGGTTGCTTCCAATTTGAAAAAAGAAGGTTATTATTGCAACCATACACAGCACACCTAGTACTCAGCATTTTGTTCTTCACCTAACATAAAAATATAGCTTTAAATATTTAATGACTTATATTTAAATCATCTTACCTTATAAAAAATTTAGTCAAATAAAACAATTACAGAAATATTAAAATAAATCACTTCGTTAATCACAAAATTGGACGAATATTAAAAGCGAAAACTAAACACGTGCACACCCTGCTTTATGTAAACAGAGAGGTCAGGTCTCGTGCTGACGTCACTAACTTGGCATTCCTGGCTAACATTGTAGAATAGGGATCTGGCTATCCTTGTAGTATATAGTCCTTGCATTCGACCAGCCTACAATAGGGCAGTTGGGTGGTGAGGGACGAGGCCCGACATATCTGGACGGAAAAATATAGCATTATTTTATTAAAATTAAAAAAGATGCTTTTGACAAAAGGAAAAGACACACATTAAAGAGAAAAACAATGTATTTCCTAATTTTGTAATTAATTCCATAACTGTAATTCTGCATTGTCAAACTTCATTTCTTTGATAATATCGGATGTTGGATAATGTTGACACACGAAGGTATACCAAATTCGTGTTTCCAAGATTAAAGCTAACAAAGTTATTGTAAAGGTTTCAGTATTTTGAAAGAACAAAGTAAGTCATTGTTGATGAGTATTATCGCGCCGGCATTTTCGAACTCTCCGCAATACTTTGAGGCAGAGAAGATCGTTACCAAGCGACGTTTCCAGTAGAACTCAAATCCGTCCTCCACCACTTGATGAGCACGAATTATTAAGTCAAAGTTATTTTGGTTCAAAAAATTTTCCACTACATCTGCCCCGAAAGTATAGGATATGCCTCTCTCCAAGTTCTCTCCCCATCCTTCGGAATTCCTTTCCGGATCGGACCATAGAAGATCGCATAAAAGACCTTCTTCTGGCACGTCAATGGGTCTCTCCAATTGTCGGATCTGATCCAAGGACTCCAACTTGGGGCTGAGTCCTCCGTGGCAACAGAAAATTTTGTCCTCGATAATAGCTGCCACAGGTAGACAATCAAAACACTCGTTAAATATTTTCCATAGCTTCACGCAATATTTTCTCTTGCATTCCTCGTAAAATCCGTAAACTCTATTTACGGTGATGCACTCGTGGTTACCTCTAAGCAAGAAAAATGTTTCAGGATATTTTACTTTATAAGCGAACAGAAGACAGATTGTTTCCAGCGACCAATTGCCCCTGTCGACGTAATCGCCCAGAAACAGATAGTTACTGCGAGGAGGATATCCACCCAATTCGAACAATCGAAGCAAATCAAAGTAGTGGCCGTGAACGTCACCACATATGACGAGTGGCGGTTCCAGTTCTAGAAGCATAGGCTGCTTCAGGAGGATCTTCCTAACGTCGTAACACAGTCCGAAGATCTCATTTCCTCCAAATCGCACTTCGTTCCCTCGAGATTCATTACGAAACTTTAAAAGTCGAGAGATCATGCTGTCCACGTTATAAGCGTATTCGTTCATAGTTTCGATTAACAAAGTTGGATGTTCTCTAACACTAAAAACAACTGAATTTCCGTCTTCTTTTGTTGTTTGCCATTGTCACGTCGCTTCTTATTATTATCATATTTCTCGTAAATTTGGTGTTAAGCGATCCGAAATTCGTAATCTGTTTTCTTTTTTTCGTTTTTGGCTCTTTGTCCTGTGGGCACAAACTTTTTTTCTTGAGTTCGGCCAGTCCAAAATGGGAGCGACGACTGAACATATCAAGAACCTATGAAAAATTCTTGGGATTTTTCGATCGCCCGGGGACCGGGCTACCCAAAGCTGATGGTAGGCTGATGGTCGTCGAAGACGATGGGTTTATTCTGATTATTATTCAGAAAAGAAACAGTTCTCTCCATGGCCCCACATTCTACAGCGGCGCTCCCCGACCAGGATCATTGGCCAGAATATTGGCGATTATTGCATGTGATATATTGGAGTACGAAAATATCTATCGACTGTGGTTTGAAATGTTGTCGGGAAAGTTAAGCAACTCGTTGCTGGATTTTATTTGTTTATAACTTTGTAATATTAGTAAAATAATAAAACACATTAATATTTTTTAATACAATACTTATTTTCAGAAATACAACTTGGCACATTAGTCCGACAATGTCCAAATTTGATTCTGATTTCCGGTACGGTATCTGACATTTTATACAAAATGTACCATTTTGTATAAAATGTCAGATATTAAATGGGTCAGGACCCCTCAAAATTTTAGCTTGAAGTTGTTGGACATGTCTAATTTGAAATTATATTTTGTGATCTTATTTTGTTTCTAATGCCAATGCGAGAAGAATATTAATCCATTATATTTAAATCTTTCATCACTCGTGCATGCGTTGACTTATTACATAAATCCAATCTGATCTAATCTTGTGAAAACAAATCGAAAATTCTTAAATATGTTCTGTTTTGACAATAAAAGATTTAAAATACATAATTAAACAAAATTAAAATCTAGTAATTAATAATAGTTTGCATGTGAGAAATCTTTTATTTCTAATTAAATAATTTATGTGTGTAATGTAATACAGTATAGTATATCGTACATGAATAATTGAAAAAGCAATAACATTTTTCTCAATAAATACGTGCAGAGTTACAAAATTAATAAAACAATCATTTGTGTATATTGTTTGAATGGACATTTGATATGTTAAAGTGAAATATTTTCACTTTATTTAGTTCGAAATAAGATTTTCGTAGTATTATACAAAATGTGTTCCACATATTGGCACTCTGATGGGGTTCCTTCTGATATCTCTCGTATTTTCAATAATATATTGAAAGCTGTGTAAAATGTGTTCCATATCTGAAACATTTCACAATAATATTAATGCAAAATTTTAATTTTTTCAAACTTTTATTAGAACAATATATATAATGTTATTTTCAATTAATTTTAAACATAAAATTATCAATTATGCAAAATAATCAATTTAAGATATTTATTTTAATATCTTCAATTTGTATTAAAAATGTTGTAATGTAGAATTTTGTTAAAAAACCTGTACCAAATATAAATACAACTATATTTTATTGAATATAAACATAGATATGTTTTAGTATTTCTATATTTTTAAATGAATATAACTACATAAATTTTTGCCATGAAAAATCTTCTAATGTGTTGATGAATGAATTTTATTGAATATAAACCTATAAAGAGATATTTTGTATGTTCCGAAGTTTTTGTTCTGTAAAATCTTCTAAAATAGTATTAAAATCCAACTGGCTTGCTTCTTGACTCTCAATCGACATGATCGCTAAACTGTTTAATCTATTTTGCAATTTGAAACTATTTTTAAATATATAAATTTTGATGTCGTGCGGGGCCCAATTGGCACAAATCGCCTCAAATCCGGCCCTGAAAACATATTTTAAATTATCATCATGTTACTGAATGTCATTTAATAAAATCGTTATAAAAAGTTTTAATTAGCATAATTTTGAGTTTTTGTAAATCTGAGTAACATTTTGAATAAAATTCATTTGTTTCCACATAATTTTATTCATATAAACACAAAATTAAGCCTGGACCCACTAGTAGTCAAGCGGTCTTCGTTCTCTGAACACTGGGACTTTGATCGTGGGTTCGCGCCTCGTTCGGACGGGCTGGCTACGTAAAGTTTATCGGGTTTTCTTTACGTCTATAACGCCTAAATAGGAGCCAGTTTCCTTTAAAAAGACCTCCCAGAAGGTATCCCCTTAGGCTGATCGCCCAAGTGTTGCGTTTTCATAACTAAACAAACAAAATTAAGCCGTAAAACTGAATTAACCCGAATGGAAACCCCGTGAACTTTGACCTATCGACCCGGAAGTTTTCTAGCAGAAGAGCTTTCTAGATACAGTAGCGCGTGTGCAGTACCGGAGGAAAAAAATGAGAAGAAAATACAGCTTTTTTTTAAGATTTTTACAATTTTCGATTGCTTATATTTCAGCGACCGCTTTATACAAATCTTGAAACTTTGCACACTACCTAAGAAAATAATTTACCTTTGAACGGGACGAGATATTCGAAATTACTATAGGTGTTTAAAAGCGAAGAAATCGACCCCCGAAAATCGGCAACTCTAATTTCTGTATATGTAGTCAGTCAGTGACTTTTTTTACATGTTGGGGAGTCACTATCGTAACTTCTCATCTAAGACACTAGATTATTAGATCAAATTTCATCCGTTATTATTGAATACTAAACGTCCTATATATATATCACACTTGAGTTCCTAAAAGGCTTCGTAAACAAAGTGATGGTGTACATCGAATATCAATTTCTCACCGAAATAACATTATGTGGAAGATATAATACTTTCCAGACCAACTAAAAACAATTTATCTGAAAGTGGTGTCTAGTGTACAATAAGAAACAGTTTACAGTATATAAAAATGTCGCTACTTGTTACCTCGTTTAGTATCCCACGCTGTCCACTACGGCACCTCATCAAAACGTATCGTATTGTGATGGAAACCTCAAATTGTATTGTATATACTTACACTGTACATAGAATCCGACGACTATTCTTTTGTGTAATGTCATCTATCTCCACGATTACACCAAGCTAACACACATCTGGTGTTACCATTACCATTTGTTTTCATCATTTTCATTATAATCTTCACTTGTATTTTCCTTACAATAACTTAATGTATTATTTCATTGCATCCATTTATTCCTTAATTCAATTCTGAATCACTTATATTTTGTATGTTTTTTATAATCAACTTGTATGTATTGTACCCACGTTTATACCTGTTCTGCATAATATCCTGTTTGTCAAATTAATAAATGACAGGCGGGCGCTATGGTGCCTCCCATGCCTTCATTTCACACTTTCCTATCTCCATTTCTTTTCACACTCTGCTCACATGCGTTTTTCTTCTTACAACTTCAAATAGGGCAGAATCCGATGCGATCATACGAATAGCTCTTCTCTCTCTTTAATCACATATGCTCCGGCATTCCTTTTGTTGTCATCGTCGGTGTGTATAGTCTTGTCCATGTTTTGACCCACCTCTGTCCCTCCGGACCGCGTCACAGCGCTCNAAAAATGTTGTACTGTAGAATTTTGTTAATCAGACGTTTCCCCAACGATTAAGTGCATTAAAACACTAAAAACTAGTACTTAATTGCGAGTTCGCGCTTAGCAAATGTGCCAGTTTCCCTAGAATATTCCTATCAGGAGGCACCCATCTTGGCAGATCGCCTTTATGCCGCATTGCCCTAATCCATGATTTCAATCCATTTCTCGGAGATAAATGCATTTTTTAATTTTCTCTGTGTGATTTCTTTTTGTCATTGAATAATAAATTTTTTGAAAAATACCGTTAGCCATTTTAATTAAAATTGTGAATATATTTTTAGTTCTTTAATTAACGACGTCTCTTCTAACGGTCTAGTCTTGTAGAGCTCTTAGAATCCTCCATTTTATTCCGTCTTATATTTTAAAAATTTTCTATTGTTGGCGTATTTTATAGGCATAAGCTATTGTAAAAAGGTTTACATCTTTAATATCTGTCTTACACAGTATAGAAATTAATTGTAAATGCATGTTCTGAAATGTATGTATGCATCCTCTTGGATAAATCTGCTGATGCATTGCAAGTATTTTCAAAATCTCACTTTACCGATTCGTTCGATTGCTTTAAAGACCATTGTTCTGTTTTTCGAATGAAATTTCATGTTATATTCTCCTGTTTAATTAATTTTACGCACTTTCGAGCGTAGTAGTCAAATTTTATGCTCTTTTTTTCGTCTTTTACTATTGTCTTGCTGTGATTTGCTTTTACTATTTTCTTGCTTTGGCTGTAGTGAAGAAGTCTTTAATACTTTCATTTCTCATAAATATTAAAGAATCATATACAATGAAGGAAATAATTTTATATATTACACTAAACATGATGTAATTAATTATTGCTTGTACATTTTAAAAATTTAATTATCACTAATTGTTTATTCAAAAATGTCTCAAGAAATATACCTGTATAGGACATTTCCTCGATATGATGAAACAATCACCACAACTGAATCCAATTTTATAGTCTCTAAATTTTTTCATAAAATCTAAAATCTATTTTAAAATTTGTATGATAAGTAAATATAATATTAAAAGTATACAACAAAATTAAGTCAATTTTTTAACCTTAATTTTATCCAGTAATGTACGTGATTCTGCAGCAAATCCTCTCACATCCTGAAATGACTCGTACACCTAGAAATAAATGTCTGTATTCAGAACCATTAATTAATGAAACTGCATATTCTTAATTAATACACTTACCGATGACACACCCTTTGATATTGAAAAAGAGAAAAGCAAGATAAAAACCGTACAAACAACGGCTATAATACAAATTACAATATGCAAATAATCAGTGAGCTCGGAAAATATTACATTGTATATGGCAACTGCTTCTAGGTAAATGCTGACTCCGTAAACGAAAAAGAAAATTTCATTCAATTTTTCGTTAATTTGATTCAACAAATTGTATAACTCTTGATGCTTGGCCATTAGAAGATCGAGATGACTTTTTGAACAGTTGATTTCTGCTTGATTAAGTTCTTTAGATACAACGTTGAATCTTTCAAAAATTGCCTTACCAGTAACGATTGCTACCAATATGGTCGATAAACCTAATGTTATTTCTAACTGTATACATGTGTTATAAAATACTGTACAGATCAAAGCCTTGCTGAAGTTAGATTGCCGTTCTATTCGTAAACACATGAAGATGGATGTAATTATAGTAATGAATACCAAAGTAAATACATAGAAAACTCCAGATATTCCAAGTAGATAGATTTGATCCTTTCTCAACTTTTTTCTTTCCTCTTCGTATCCTGATATGTTTAGATCAAAAACGATTTTCTTATTTCCATTTATTTCGAGTATAAGTATACAGGCT